GTAAAATGCGCATTCTAATCTGCTTTATCTCATCTCTAACTTAACTGTTGCAGGAAAAATTGAATTATGAAACTGAAGATCTGATTTCAAAATTGAGAATGGAAATGGGGAATGTGTCAAAGAGACAACAACCCGACCAAAGAGCAGAAAACAGCCCAAGGCCACCAATGGGTCTTCAACACATCGAGAAAATCCTGCACCCCGGAGGCGGGCTTCAGCTGGCCCCTAAACAAAAATGTGTACTAGTTCAGTGAAAATAGACGTCATACTAAACTCCAAAACATATAAATGAACTGAAATTAAAAAACTTACAAGACTAACAAAGGCAAGAGGCTCCTAACTTGGGACATGCGCAAATATGCGGCGGGGTTAAACATGTTTTGTGAGATCTCAACTCTCCCCCTATACCTCTAGCCAATGTAGAATGAACAAACACACAACAATACGCATAGTAAAACTCAATAAATTTGTCTCTCATGACCTCACCTTTTTCTTCATTTGCAGATATCCTCTTGTCGGCTGAATTAATTTTGGACTTTAAAGATGCATGAAAACTTTTCAAGTGATGAATTTCATCATGAGTTTCATTCAGTTGTTGATTTAAATTCTTTAGTGTATCTTTGACTTCTGCTGTGAAATTGTCTTTAAAAGATATATAAACTTCAACAATTAAATCAACAAATTTGAAGAAAACTAAAAATTTAAGAAAAATACTCGATAAATCCCATGTAATAGATGAGGCAGTGGACATATTATATTCGTTTTTTGTTTGTTGTGTTGTACACAAATAAAAAAAACAATGTGTTGTACACAAAGTTGGTTTTCTCGCTTGAATTGTTTTATATTTTGTCATGTGGAGGCCTTGTATAACTTGCTATACGGTATGGGTTTGTCTCGTTGTTGAAGGCAGTACGGTGAATTATAATAGTTCTTAAAATCTACGTTTGCTATCTGGTTAACAGTTGTCTGATTGGCAACTATTCCACATCTTCTTATTCTTTTTACATTGCATTCATAATTCCATTGACATTTCGTTATATGATAGAAGATCAACACATATACTTGCTGTTTGTTATCAGGTTCAGATAATCCAGCTTTCTATAATCTATGTTCGTAATAGAACGTCAGATATATCTTTTATCAATCTGAAATCTAGTTCCATAGACATCCGTTAATCACAACAAAAGAATCATTATATGCTTGCTAATTATGATTATTCAGCCAAAGAGAAAGATTTAAGTATGAGTATTCTGTGAAGCGTTTGATGGGTTGTTGTTTGCCAAAACTTTGTTTATACCTTTTACCCATGATGATATATATCATTTGTCGCCTTACGGTGCTGAGCGGCTTCTGTGTTTCATGAGTTCTTTAAACTATAAACATGTGTTGTATGGACTAAACAAGGAATACTTTCTATCTTAATTTGCTGCAGAAAGAATTTATTGATTAAGCAGAAGCTTCTATCCAAGTTTCATGAATATGTGACAAAGTAAATAATTGTTGTCTGAACACGTTTAAACTAAGACTGTTACTGATTATGTGCTCAGTCTGCAAAACAACTACTATAAAAAGGGGATGCGGTATGCCTGCCGATATGACAACTATTCACCTGAGACCAAATGGCATAGATAAGACCATTTATAATTTTAAAATGTGAACCCTGCTTCGATCGTGTTGTCACTACCAGTTAAACCCCGGGGATAATTCAAATTCGGCGATGGTGATCTTATAAAGAGAGAGGTAGACGGAATTATGAAAAAAAAAAACATTTTAAAAGTTATGTTGTCGACCTTATGCATTTTCTTACGTGACACAGTGATTCCATACGGGGTAACCAAATCATCGTGGTGTATTTTCCATAAAACTTTTGAAAAAAATGACTTTACCTTTCAACACCCTTGGTTAAAAACCTTCCATGTAAGCTGCAAACCATTCTCAATTATGTATTGATAGGATATGAAAATCCTGGAATATCGTGTCATCTGGGAAATATATACTTCATATGCATCTGATTTTGGAATGTTGCTACATAAGATTAGAAATACCGGATGGCCTCTTGTCGAAAATATTATTCAGTAATCCTTTACAAAAAATAAAGACAACACGACAGATAGACCAACAAGCATTTCTTCATTCTTTCTCAAAGATTTCACACGCCATGCGATGATAGTCAATAGATAGAAGCCCATAATGCTTGTTGGTGTGATTTGCCAATTTGTTGCAAACAATGTTTTTTATTTTGCAGCAAGAAAAATAGTATACACATGTTTTCTGTCATTATCAATCTAGTTGTGTTGACCTGTCATGAAAATCGTTCATTTGTACTTCTAAAAGAGAATATTAATAAAACTGAGAATGGAAATGGGGAATGTGCCAAAGAGACAACAACCCGACCAAAGAACAGAAAAACAGCCCAAGGCCACCAATGGGTCTTCAACAAAGCGAGAAAATCCCGCACCCGGAGGCGGGAATCAGATGGCCCCTAAACAAAAATGTGTACTAGTTCAGTGAAAATAGACGTCATACTAAACTCCAAAACATATAAATGAACTGAAATTAAAAAACTTACAAGACTAACAAAGGCAAGAGGCTCCTAACTTGGGACATGCGCAAATATGCTGCGGGGTTAAACATGTTTTGTGAGATCTCAACTCTCCCCCTATACCTCTAGCCAATGTAGAATGAACAAACACACAACAATACGCATAGTAAAACTCAATAAATTTGTCTCTCATGACCTCACCTTTTTCTTCATTTGCAGATATCCTCTTGTCGGCTGAATTAATTTTGGAGTTTAAAGATGCATGAAAACTTTTCAAGTGATGAATTTCATCATGAGTTTCATTCAGTTGTTGATTTAAATTCTTTAGTGTATCTTTGACTTCTGCTGTGAAATTGTCTTTAAAAGATATATAAACTTCAACAATTAAATCAACAAATTTGAAGAAAACTAAAAATTTAAGAAAAATACTCGATAAATCCCATGTAATAGATGAGGCAGTGGACATATTATATTCGTTTTTTGTTTGTTGTGTTGTACACAAATAAAAAAAACAATGTGTTGTACACAAAGTTGGTTTTCTCGCTTGAATTGTTTTATATTTTGTCATGTGGAGGCCTTGTATAACTTGCTATACGGTATGGGTTTGTCTCGTTGTTGAAGGCAGTACGGTGAATTATAATAGTTCTTAAAATCTACGTTTGGTATCTGGTTAACAGTTGTCTGATTGGCAACCATTCCACATCTTCTTATTCTTTTTACATTGCATTCATAATTCCATTGACATTTCGTTATATGATAGAAGATCAACACATATACTTGCTGTTTGTTATCAGGTTCAGATAATCCAGCTTTCTATAATCTATGTTCGTAATAGAACGTCAGATATATCTTTTATCAATCTGAAATCTAGTTCCATAGACATCCGTTAATCACAACAAAAGAATCATTATATGCTTGCTAATTATGATTATTCAGCCAAAGAGAAAGATTTAAGTATGAGTATTCTGTGAAGCGTTTGATGGGTTGTTGTTTGCCAAAACTTTGTTTATACCTTTTACCCATGATGATATATATCATTTGTCGCCTTACGGTGCTGAGCGGCTTCTGTGTTTCATGAGTTCTTTAAACTATAAACATGTGTTGTATGGACTAAACAAGGAATACTTTCTATCTTAATTTGCTGCAGAAAGAATTTATTGATTAAGCAGAAGCTTCTATCCAAGTTTCATGAATATGTGACAAAGTAAATAATTGTTGTCTGAACACGTTTAAACTAAGACTGTTACTGATTATGTGCTCAGTCTGCAAAACAACTACTATAAAAAGGGGATGCGGTATGCCTGCCGATATGACAACTATTCACCTGAGACCAAATGGCATAGATAAGACCATTTATAATTTTAAAATGTGAACCCTGCTTCGATCGTGTTGTCACTACCAGTTAAACCCCGGGGATAATTCAAATTCGGCGATGGTGATCTTATAAAGAGAGAGGTAGACGGAATTATGAAAAAAAAAAACATTTTAAAAGTTATGTTGTCGACCTTATGCATTTTCTTACGTGACACAGTGATTCCATACGGGGTAACCAAATCATCGTGGTGTATTTTCCATAAAACTTTTGAAAAAAATGACTTTACCTTTCAACACCCTTGGTTAAAAACCTTCCATGTAAGCTGCAAACCATTCTCAATTATGTATTGATAGGATATGAAAATCCTGGAATATCGTGTCATCTGGGAAATATATACTTCATATGCATCTGATTTTGGAATGTTGCTACATAAGATTAGAAATACCGGATGGCCTCTTGTCGAAAATATTATTCAGTAATCCTTTACAAAAAATAAAGACAACACGACAGATAGACCAACAAGCATTTCTTCATTCTTTCTCAAAGATTTCACACGCCATGCGATGATAGTCAATAGATAGAAGCCCATAATGCTTGTTGGTGTGATTTGCCAATTTGTTGCAAACAATGTTTTTTATTTTGCAGCAAGAAAAATAGTATACACATGTTTTCTGTCATTATCAATCTAGTTGTGTTGACCTGTCATGAAAATCGTTCATTTGTACTTCTAAAAGAGAATATTAATAAAACTGAGAATGGAAATGGGGAATGTGCCAAAGAGACAACAACCCGACCAAAGAACAGAAAAACAGCCCAAGGCCACCAATGGGTCTTCAACAAAGCGAGAAAATCCCGCACCCGGAGGCGGGAATCAGATGGCCCCTAAACAAAAATGTGTACTAGTTCAGTGAAAATAGACGTCATACTAAACTCCAAAACATATAAATGAACTGAAATTAAAAAACTTACAAGACTAACAAAGGCAAGAGGCTCCTAACTTGGGACATGCGCAAATATGCTGCGGGGTTAAACATGTTTTGTGAGATCTCAACTCTCCCCCTATACCTCTAGCCAATGTAGAATGAACAAACACACAACAATACGCATAGTAAAACTCAATAAATTTGTCTCTCATGACCTCACCTTTTTCTTCATTTGCAGATATCCTCTTGTCGGCTGAATTAATTTTGGAGTTTAAAGATGCATGAAAACTTTTCAAGTGATGAATTTCATCATGAGTTTCATTCAGTTGTTGATTTAAATTCTTTAGTGTATCTTTGACTTCTGCTGTGAAATTGTCTTTAAAAGATATATAAACTTCAACAATTAAATCAACAAATTTGAAGAAAACTAAAAATTTAAGAAAAATACTCGATAAATCCCATGTAATAGATGAGGCAGTGGACATATTATATTCGTTTTTTGTTTGTTGTGTTGTACACAAATAAAAAAAACAATGTGTTGTACACAAAGTTGGTTTTCTCGCTTGAATTGTTTTATATTTTGTCATGTGGAGGCCTTGTATAACTTGCTATACGGTATGGGTTTGTCTCGTTGTTGAAGGCAGTACGGTGAATTATAATAGTTCTTAAAATCTACGTTTGGTATCTGGTTAACAGTTGTCTGATTGGCAACCATTCCACATCTTCTTATTCTTTTTACATTGCATTCATAATTCCATTGACATTTCGTTATATGATAGAAGATCAACACATATACTTGCTGTTTGTTATCAGGTTCAGATAATCCAGCTTTCTATAATCTATGTTCGTAATAGAACGTCAGATATATCTTTTATCAATCTGAAATCTAGTTCCATAGACATCCGTTAATCACAACAAAAGAATCATTATATGCTTGCTAATTATGATTATTCAGCCAAAGAGAAAGATTTAAGTATGAGTATTCTGTGAAGCGTTTGATGGGTTGTTGTTTGCCAAAACTTTGTTTATACCTTTTACCCATGATGATATATATCATTTGTCGCCTTACGGTGCTGAGCGGCTTCTGTGTTTCATGAGTTCTTTAAACTATAAACATGTGTTGTATGGACTAAACAAGGAATACTTTCTATCTTAATTTGCTGCAGAAAGAATTTATTGATTAAGCAGAAGCTTCTATCCAAGTTTCATGAATATGTGACAAAGTAAATAATTGTTGTCTGAACACGTTTAAACTAAGACTGTTACTGATTATGTGCTCAGTCTGCAAAACAACTACTATAAAAAGGGGATGCGGTATGCCTGCCGATATGACAACTATTCACCTGAGACCAAATGACATAGATAAGACCATTTATAATTTTAAAATGTGAACCCTGCTTCGATCGTGTTGTCACTACCAGTTAAACCCCGGGGATAATTCAAATTCGGCGATGGTGATCTTATAAAGAGAGAGGTAGACGATATTATGAAAAAAAAACATTTTAAAAGTTATGTTGTCGACCTTATGCATTTTCTTACGTGACACAGTGATTCCATACGGGGTAACCAAATCATCGTGGTGTATTTTCCATAAAACTTTTGAAAAAAATGACTTTACCTTTCAACACCCTTGGTTAAAAACCTTCCATGTAAGCTGCAAACCATTCTCAATTATGTATTGATAGGATATGAAAATCCTGGAATATCGTGTCATCTGGGAAATATATACTTCATATGCATCTGATTTTGGAATGTTGCTACATAAGATTAGAAATACCGGATGGCCTCTTGTCGAAAATATTATTCAGTAATCCTTTACAAAAAATAAAGACAACACGACAGATAGACCAACAAGCATTTCTTCATTCTTTCTCAAAGATTTCACACGCCATGCGATGATAGTCAATAGATAGAAGCCCATAATGCTTGTTGGTGTGATTTGCCAATTTGTTGCAAACAATGTTTTTTATTTTGCAGCAAGAAAAATAGTATACACATGTTTTCTGTCATTATCAATCTAGTTGTGTTGACCTGTCATGAAAATCGTTCATTTGTACTTCTAAAAGAGAATATTAATAAAACTGAGAATGGAAATGGGGAATGTGCCAAAGAGACAACAACCCGACCAAAGAACAGATAAACAGCCCAAGGCCACCAATGGGTCTTCAACAAAGCGAGAAAATCCCGCACCCGGAGGCGGGAATCAGATGGCCCCTAAACAAAAATGTGTACTAGTTCAGTGAAAATGGACGTCACAATAAACTTCAAAACATATAAATGTACTAAAATTAAAAAAACATAACATTTAAAGAAAACTCATTCAAGCTAATCCAGAAATTATCGAAAGCCTATTAAATTGGTTTTTTTTCTTCTTGTTTGTATTAAAGTTCTAAATATCGAAGTTTCGTGTTTCTTCATGATACATAATGTGATGTGTATGATAAAAGCACTTAATTTATCTATTAAAAGTGTTCACTTTTTTCTTCATTTGCTGTAATTACTGATTCTTTATAACGTTTCAACTGCTCCACATCTGTCAGAATATCTTTCTGATGTCGTTCTATATTCTTCATTCCATCGATAATTTCAAACGTAAAATTACCTATGGTGATAAAGATAGCAGATTACTCTAAAAGAAATGTTGGAAAAATAAGTCGACTTCAACTTTTTGAATCACTGCATTTTTAACAGTTGTTTATCTATTTTGCCCTTTGATATTTTCAGGCTCCACCCAATTTTGTAAGAGAATTGATTATAGGTTGTACTTTGTAAAAACAGCTGTTTAAAAACCACGCCCCTTTTGAAATATATAATATTCATTGAAATTTTGTTTTGTTTACGTACTGGTTCCCATATATGATCTCTATTTTTTATCTCATAGAAACATAACTTGGGAATGTTACCACTATAAATACACATGGATAGCGGCCAGATTGAATTCTGAGGAAGACCCAAAGTGAAGGTTGGGGTAGTACAGAATTTTTGTATAAGTTTAAACTCTCTTAAAATTTCGGGGCATATAAATGTTGAAAAAATGCCGCACAGTCCAATATTTTGACCTTTGAAATAAATAGTAGTGCATATGAACTTTGCATTCTAGTATATAATTCTTCACAAAACTTCATAGTAAAAGTGGCACAGTTTTAGCGGTAAAAGGAGTTCCTATGAGAAATTGCGTTGTCCATATTTACAGAAGTGCTACCTTTATCGTGTTTGAAACTTTAAACTTGACATAGTAAAGTACTATTTTGGTACTGAGGATAGTTTATAGCAAAATTGAAGTAGTTTTGATGTCAGACCAGTGAATGCTGTCTTTTTCTTAAAAAAGGATAACAGAAGTTGGAATATTTGACACCACAGCGAAGTGCATTGTTTACAGAGAACTAACCGTTAGCTTTATGCATTTCATCTGATTCAAGACAATACATTTGCCATCGGTCTTAATGACAACCTGGTGTGACACAATGACTAGTTTTTTTCATAACAAATAAATTTATTTGGAAAGTTGTCCTACAAAATGCGGCAAAATTACATAGAAACTGCGAGGGATATGTGGATATTTATATATAACTTGTTGATCAAAAGATTTCAAAAAGCCGTTCTAAATAGAAAAATGGATAAGGAATGAAGAAAGACCATCCGATTTATTTTTGCCTTTGAAAAGGTTGATTTTATATCATGTTTGTCATGTTATTTTACTTACAATATTGTATATAAGCCTATTACAATTAAATTTTATTCTTCAACGTTTGAAAATAAAATCTGCTAGAAAATGTAATATCAGCTTTCGCTTGATGTCAAATTCTGGAAAGATTCTTTCGGAGAAGCTGCAACATCACACATATATTGGAACAGGTATACATTTAAATTGCTGTTCTAAAGATTTCAACATCTTAGCCATTATAAAATGCAAAGCTATTCGAATAAGGACCCTAGATAGGAAATCAGGATTTCATTGGAAATCGAAATGCTGTAATTTTAGCCTTTCACTAATCTTGTTTTCAAAGGTTTGAACAATATTCAATTAGTTTTGGCGTCATGTCAATCATTGTGACTTGAAAATTCAAAACGGAAAGATCCTCAACAAATGGCAAAATCAAAAGTTCAAACACATCAAACGAATGCAAAACAATTGTCATATTCCTGACTTGGTATAGGCATTTCTTTATTTAAAAAATGGTGGGTTAAACCTGGTTTTATAGCTAGCTAGTTGCGTTTAGTTCTATTATATCGACAACAATGTGTGAGCAAAACAAACAGACATAATAGGTTAAATTGACAAAAAATTGGATACAGCAGTCACTATTGTGTTATTATCTCATTCATTTTAAAAACAAACAACTATGTCAACAAAGAAAAACAAAATGGCATGTAGACAACCTGTAGACAAAGCACATAAGCAAGACTGAAAGACAAGAACACAGAAAATGTTCATAGCACAATAACACATTTACGGGATGTATAAATACCGAGCCACGCCAAAAGGACATTTCCAAATATGGACTTATCAGTCAAGGTTAAGAATATATACCAAGACAAATAAAATGAACACTATAATACGTAATTAAGATGATAAACAACGTCAGTACCTAGAACCTATAATTCAAGATCATCATGTATTATTTGTGAAGTTGATACTGAAAATAATTTATCAACAAGGTCTTGGTATCTTCCGATGACTATTTTTTTTAGAAAAAGGACGAGACGTTCTTTGACATAACCCTGGTTCAACCAACCAGCTCAGACACTGATGACGTTTTATAAAGTCTGAGTAGCAGCTGCACGCTCTTGAATACCGAATGAGTTGGGAAATGTATATTCCATATGCATGTAAAGTTGTTATATTGCTGCTAAGGTGGGGGAAATGTATAACTTCAAAATTAAAATCGTCTCGTTTGTCATAGATTCTTGTACTGAGATGACCGCTTATGTCAAATTCGAGGTATAAGTCTAAAAATGAGGCGGAGGAAGCCATGTCTGTTGTTTCTTTACTTTCTAGTTCTGGCGGATATATTAATGAAACCCAATCATAAAAGTTTAGATTGTAAATAGAAAGAAGTTTATCAATATATCTGAATATGAAACTAAATGATCTGGCTTCTTGTTTCTGACAAGTGTCTGAAGGAACAGCACTCCGACTCATTTGAAAATAAGAAGAGATCGGCAAGGAGAGGTACACACTTCGTTTCTATATGAATCACTATCCTCAGCGTTTATGCAGTACTGTTAGCTTGCTGTTAATTAAGATCTGTTCGGTCTATGTTCAAACTTATCAGTCAGTAGCTATTAGTTACCTGTACACATAAGCATCATACTGAATTGTCTGAATAGCAACTGAACAGTACTGAATTCACTGCAAGCGATTTGTCGGAACAGTCATGAATGTACCGCAATGGATTAGTCTCAATATTTAATGAAAGACTGAATTGTTCTGACTTTTCAGGTGACCGTTTAAGACTAAAATTCATTTACTGGTGAACTGAAAACTAAACATTTATGATTCATGAAGCTTAACCTTCTCTGCACCAAGTATAATGAAATGTATCTTTTCTTTTAAAGGATAGTTAAACATCATGGAGACCAAAAATAAAAATGAAATAAGTACACTTTCCCCTTTGCTGAGCTGTCGGTGTTTTTCTATTGTCATGTTGAAATCATTAATGCACCAATTCAAATGATGGAAAATGAGTATTCTGTTCTTGAATAAACATTTTCTTTTTTTAGTAATATTCTTCAAATATTCTCTTACCCGATATTTCATTTTCTTTAGTTGCACGATCTTCCATTTGCATTTGTTGACGCCTGATTTCGTTCAAATCTTTGCTAAGGTCTTGTGTAACTAAGAGACAAAATAATAACATTTGTGCATACTTAATACAGACATGAATTATATATATATTTTTAAGCTGTAATGGGTGGTTAATAGTGGAACTAAGAACTGAAAAATGTAAACTTGGAACAGTGAAATATCAACTTGGAACTGAGAAATATCTTCCCGTAACTGAGAAGAAGCTTTATTACCAAAAGGGATCGAAATAAAAGGATAAAACACTATAAGGTAAACTTTACATCATAAGTTAGAACCTTCATTTCTAAATAACTAATCAATTTATCACCTTAGAGTTTAACAAGGTATGTTATAAATCATGTCAGTATCGATTTAAACGTCATTTGACATTTGAGTTATGTAAGAATTATGAAAACATGAAACAATTTATATGACTTTCAAATGTCTCAATTTGTAATGAATTCTAGATTGTCTAAATTATAGGTCAAATTGATTATGGACCATTCCTGATTTCTGAAGCTTAACTATACTGGTTTGAAACCTAAAAGCACAAACAAATAAAACGGACAGCACTTTGGCTAAAAAAACATACGACTGTCTACAAAACTCTACACAGAAAACTAAAGATTTAGCAAGAAAATGAGTCCTTAATGTATAACAAGATTTCTAAGCATGCATACATATCATTTACTTTCCAAATTTCCTTCCTACATTGTGAAAAAAGGGCAAATGTCGTATAGCCATTTCTTAAGACGAAACACATTGCTACGATTTCTGTTTCTAAATTTAGAAGTCATACAATTTATGGTTACAATTTATTTGGTGATTTTTACTAAACTACCAGAAAATAATTTCAAGAAAGATACTGATTTGTAGGTTTAATTCATACAAAGGAAAAGACGTTCTAGCCAAGGAAAAAGAGTCGCCGATTGTTTTGTGGTTCTAATTAATAAAAAAGGTCGTTTCTCATCCTCAACCTCCCTCGGGTCTGCTAATTTGAAACTCAAAACATTTTGTATTCGTTGCGGTAATGCGTATGCAACAGTTGCTGTCATTTTTATATTAAATGATCATTAGAAATACAAAAACAGAAAGAGAGACTGCATGCAATAAGATATTAATAAGAAACATCTCATTTTAGCTTTTGTTTTGCAAAATCTCTTTAATTTACCGTTTACATGAGCGTCTTCGAATGTGTCGACGAGTTCTACCATTTCGCCCCTTATTTCTTTCTTTGCCTGCTCTACTCATTGCTTGATCTGTTCTGTAATGTACCCTCGTAGCTGCTTGTTAAACTGAGTTATATCCAAATTGGCAACAAGAGGTGCTTTCAGATTGTTCAATAGTGGCATTGCTAACGACTTCCTACATATTTCATCCTTGCAATCATCGGTGTCTTCGCAAAATATATAATTGACAATCAGAAAACATACGAATACTTGTAATTTGTTAAGCATGCTATCCCTTTTTTTTTTTTTTTTTCGTATGTGGTATGTTGGGTAACGTTGCTCTGATATACGCTTAAATACTACATCTATTAACCTATTTAACTTCAGGAAACTTCCTCTTCTAAGTACTACGTGCAATAGAAATTTAGATTTCAAAGTAGTATACTTTACACATTCAGATTTTTTTCTATATTTATATCAGTGTCAGGTACCAAACAAGTGGTGAATTCCTGCATTTAAAAAAAAAGATATCTTAAGTCCGATTTTTGTTTAAAGGAAATGCTTTTAGAGTTTAGCCTTTGGTAAAATTTACATCCTTATTTACCTTACATCATTTTAAGATCTCGCCAGTTTAAATAATGTCTAAGGTAATTAAGAAAATGAATGTCACAGTAGAAAAGTTAGATTATTCCAGGACTGTGACTACATAAAGGAGACACAAATGAATGCTGTTCCTGACTACTCTATACTGCAGGTTACCAGTTGGTGATACCCATGCTGCTTAAAAATAAGGACTCATGCATGTGTCATGTTTAGTCGATTCCTTAAAGTCACATGGTACTTTGAATTAAAAAAAAAAAAGTTAAATATGTTTTATATACTTGAATGTCTAAGTTTTACACCATGTATACACTGAACTGCAGTCAAGTTTAGCGTTTGATAATTCATTGATAACATTCTGGCGTCTCATTGTGACGTCTCATTTCATTGGCCGAAAGATTCAAATACAGCGACAATCGTAGTGTGCACGTGAATTGACACAGGTGACTGACAATGGAGTGTAAAAATCACTACTCATTTTATTTTTTTTACCAAGGATTTGTATAGTAAAACTATGTAATTTTAAAAACTATTCAAATCCTTGGTGAAAAGAATTAAATAAATGTTTTGTAATGTTGTGTCGTCGCCTGATTTTCAAATAGTGGGGTCGAAATATTATAGTCGTGAAATTTTTTTATTTTGTTATGTTCATTATGCATGCAACAACACAATTATCATTTACCGCATTATGAAAAAGATAAGGATAAATACATGTGCCACTTTTATACGGATTAATGCATGAACCACATCTTTCGCACTGACGGGATAAATCATATATCCTAGGTTATTATCCTGACAATGTCGAAGTCACATGTAATAAGGATTTCATAATAATAATAATGCATGATGGGCTGCATATTTCTCCTTGTTTCCATGCTATAAAACGGACATACAGTAGCTAAGCGTTTAATTGGTCATTCAGACATAACGTATCACAAACGAAACAAATTGTCCCCGAAAGATAGAAACAAAACAATAATCGTATTGTGCAAGTGAATGAACACAATTAATGTACTATGCAATGTACTATCATGTTAACTACGAAAATAAAATGAATTGAAGGCATGTTGGTGTAAAAAGGATTGAAATGTGTAACATCGGTGAGGATTTTTCTTTTGCATGTGTGAAACTAAAAAATAAATAATTTAATAAATACTTGTGAGTAATGTCGTAGTTTATAAGGAACAATATGAATAGTTTTGATTTTAATTGGATGCAAATTTGTCTTTTGAGTTCATACTAAGATGAACATACCGGAAGAATAGAGCTTTGCATAACATTGTTGAACTATCCACCAAAGTGACATGGTGTCATCCTGGTTTGCCCACTTTTAATTACATGCATATGTAAACATAGAGGAATTGTTGTTTTAACAATTATAGTTTATTTCTGAATTATAGTCATATTTTTTACCTTTTATTTTACGTGTAAAATTTTGTAAGAGATACTGTATTCTGCTATCAAATCAAGGAAAATGTGCAAAAATAGTTTATATTTGATTTAGTTTATAGCAGGAAAATGTATTGAATTTGACAAATAGACAAACATGTTTATTATTTGTACAATTTAACAACAAATAGTTTTAATTGTTGGTATATTCTAGAAAAAAATAAAAACTAAAGATGAGAATAAATGTCATTTAAATTTCTTTTTATTTATTCAACTTATTTTTTTTATAATTTTAATAAATACACTGTTCTGAAATTTAATATAAAAAAATCCAATTAATTCTAACAAATACAATATAAATGCAACTGTTCAGTAGCCGCTTTTTATAGAACCACTACTACACAGAAGGACCCCGCACTACCAATCACCTGGAAGAATGGCACGACACAATTAAGAAGCGACTCCAACATGCCCATCCCAACATCTTCGAAATCATTGAGTTACTAATGAAGACCCAGGCCCTAACTGCATGTCATTGTTTTGTACATGTATGTTAAATGAATTGATGAAATCATATTAAGTTTTTGAGATAAAAAATTTTGATTTATTTATTATTTTTCTATACAAATGAAAATGAAATTACAAAATAAAAAATACCTGAATATATAGAATGATAAACTATATACCTAAGTTGGAACAGACTATACAATTGTATGCTCATCAAACCTTTTGTCTTTTTTGTTTTCTTTACTAATAGATAATTGGTATAATTAAATGTGGGCAAATCAGGAGTAAACCGGTGACATGTAGTATGCTTATTTAAAATAAAGTACAAAATCACACATGTATAATAAACAGATAAACGAAATTGTATGTAAATATTTACAGTATATAATTTACGTTCGTTTTTTTTTCAACTGAGAATAGCAAAACAATTAATTATAAATTCATCATACTTAGAATTTCGGGATTTTTTTCAAAATCAAGTAATCTGAATCAGAAAAAAAATCACACTATCCTAAGTCGAATCTCCGCTTGAGAGGAGACAGTTGGATTCAATATTTCGCCGTGTAAACCGTTAAGAATCTTAAATTCCAATTTTTTAAAACGAAGGACCTTATTAGAACTGTTGCACAAAATTACAATATAAATAAGTTTTAAATGCACATGTACACAAGTTAGAATTGCCATGAGATAATCAAGTACACAATCATGTACGTGATCAGTCCATTCAACTTTCGAGTGTTTATAGTACGCGTGTGCTTAGGCGGGGTTTGAAAGTTTATGTGAGATCGAAGGTTTGAATTGACCAATGAAAACGATCGTTCCTTAAAGAGTTGATCTAATAAAGTTTGTTTGACTGATTACGCACGATCTTTCGCTAAGCTTGACCGCAGTTAAGTGTAAAACACGTATACATGGACTTACTTTTAAATTGATTGATTGATTGGTGATTGCGTTACACCGCATCAGCACAAAAAGACTATATCGTGTTGTTTGGTTCTGAAAGAATTGTTTTAATACACCAAAGGAGTAGGTTCGGTAAGGGCCATATTTGGCCCCGATTATTAAGTTCAATGTTTCAGGATAAGAATGTGTTAAGTTGATGAAAAGACATGTGAGGAAGTTAAATAGAAGTATTTTTGTCGAAGTTTTATTCTGAAGCGTTGATTTTTACATCCCAAATAGGTAAAAACCAGAGATTTTTGCAAAATTTGACAAAATCGTACTGATTTCAACCAAATTAATGCCTAGGGAACATAGAGCGCAGGCGTCGACAAACTAAATATTTGTGTCAGGTATGTAAAATGCCATAACAAAGATTATGCTAAAAGATCTTTTTTGTCAACGCCTGCGCTCTATGTTTCCTATCCAAGAAATCAATGGAAATTATGTCATTAACAGAGCGCAAGTACGTAAATTCAAAAAAGAATTATATTTTCGATATTGTCATTGCATTAGCTATGATTCATTTTGGTATTGGACAATAAATCCTAATTTTTAATTTAAGCCAGAAATAGGATCCATTTTAGGACCTTATCGAACCTACTCCTTTTAGATATAACATCGCTCTATTGCGTGACTAATCATCCCACTTATTTCAAAGAAGTGTTGATTGTTTGTTTAAGGTCACGTTTCGTAAACTTCGGAAATAAAACCCAAAATTTAATTAGCAAGACAACGTTTTCGCAGAATGAAAATTACTTGTCGTTTATATGTTATCATGGATTCGTAATAAATAAAACAAATTGTCTATATAGAGGACTTAGTTTAGTGTATATACATGCATTGGTTCACTAATTTCCGTAACATTATAATTTCAAGAAACTCGTTTCATGTGACTTTAAGATTCTTTAAAATCCCGTATTAAATGTTCTCTTGTTGTTTTTTTTTTCCTTTCTTGTTATCCAACAAAATACCGTAGTCTCTAAATCATTGTTTCATTAAAGTACTTCCTGATGTAATGCCTTACTTGACTCGAATGAATAGAACAATCTTCCTTTATATAACACAGTAAATGCACATCGACTCTATTAGGACAATAACACTATGAAGCTACAACTTAGATATATGCACCATTCAAAAAAAGAGGAAATAGACAACACCTTTAAGATGACATTCAACTACCTTGCTAAAAAAAAACTATTATATCATAAAAATAGTCGCTTAACCGCATCAACCACATATCCACACTTTGGATTGTTCAACTCTTTCTACTTCATTTTTGCATGAAGTATTGAAAAACTCTGTCAAAACTTAAATATAAATATCATAAACAAGAGTGCACACGCTGAAATGTCTCGCCTTCTTTACTAATCATTTATATTATGTTGATAGTCCTAAATATAAAGCTTTATTACAACTGTCACATAAACTTAACATTAACCAAGTAAACTAAACATTGACCAATGAACCATGAAAATGAGGTCAAGGTCAGATGAACCATGCTAGGCAGGCATGTACAGCTAACAATTCTTCCATACAACAAATATAGTTGATCTATTGTTTATAGTTTAAGAAAAACAGACCAAAACACAAAAACTTAACACTGAGCAATGAACCTTGAAAATGAGGTCAAGGTCAAATAAAACCTGCCTGACTGACATATAGATCATAGTATATTTCCATACACCAAATATAGTTGAACTATTGCATATAGTATTAGAAAAAAAGACCAAAACTCAAAAACTTAACTTTGACCACTGATCCATGAAAATGAGGTCAAGGTCAGATGACACCTGCCAGCTAGACATGCACACCTTACAATCATTCCATACACCAAATATAGTAGACCTAATGCATACAGTATAAGAAAAACAGACCAAAACACAAAAACTTAACACTGAGCAATGAACCTTGAAAATGAGGTCAAGGTCAAATAAAACCTGCGTGACTGACATATAGATCATAAAATATTTCCATACACCAAATATAGTTGAACTATTACATATAGTATTAGAAAAAAAGACCAAAACTCAAAAACTTAACTTTGACCACTGAACCATGAAAATGAGGTCAAGGTCAGATGACACCTGCCAGCTAGACATGTACACCTTACAATCATTCCATACACCATTTATAATTGACCTATTGCATACAGTATTAGAAAAAAAGACCAAAACTCAAAAACTTAACTTTGACCACTGAACCATGAAAATGAGGTCAAGGTCAGATGACACCTACCAGTTGGACATGTACACCTTACAATCATTCCATATACCAAATATAGTAGACCTACTGCTTATAGTATCTGATATATGGACTTGACCACGAAAACTTAACCTGGTTCACTGATCCATGAAATGAGGTCGAGGTCAAATGAAAATTGTCTGACGGGCATGAGGACCTTGCAAGGTACGCACATACTAAATATAGTTATCCTATTACTCATAATAAGAAAGAAATTAACATTACAAAAAATGTTGACTTTTTTTTCAAGTAGTCACTGAACCATGAAAATGAGGTCAAGGACATTGGACATATGACAGACGGAAACTTCGTAACATAAGGCATCTATATACAAAGTATGAAGCATCCAGGTCTTCTAGCTTCTAAAATATAAAGCTTTTAAGAAGTTAGCTAACGCCGCCGCCGCCGTAGCCGCCGCCGCCGCCGGATCACTATCCCTATGTCGAGCTTTCTGCGACAAAAGTCGCAGGCTCGACAAAAAACTATTGTTTTTTTACGAATGGTGAACAACTATGTAGATTTCTATTATTTGTTTAGTAAAATGTAGTTAATCTCACTTTAGTACAAAATTTAAAGCACTGTATATCCAAATAATATCATCAAAATGCACTGTAAGTGCCATTAAATTAAAAAGAAATGTATATAAGGGAAAACATTTCTGATTTATAAATCTTAATCTCTTTTTGTTGGGTTGTGATGCTCATCTTCAATTTTCGCAAGAATTATAGGATGCAAAAATGCAATGTGATTTCATTTGCTCACCATAGCTGAACATTCTTTTAGGAACTTTTTCTATTGTATCGATGAAGATTGGAAGTTTGTTCGGCTGTAAAAACTGGTACAAATCTGCACTTTTAATTCATTTGTACAGGACTATGATAAGTTTTGTGCCATCTGCAGAGGAGAATTGTTTTTTCATATTTTTCTACGCATGGTGGTAAATATATGACCATACTTTTTTTTTTAATTAAAACTAAATTACCAAACAGAACATTATTTCTTTTCTCTTTTTAGTGTTGTTAGACTCATACTTGTAACTTTAATGTATATAAGATCGATATTAAAGAGTAAATTTCTGATGTAATTTTTATTTCATTTTTACTTTTTATAATTTATGCTGTTGCACGATAGCAAAAGTACTAAAAATGCGGAAAGAGTTCCACTGTGTCTCGCGTCCATTTTTTTGCTGTCAAGGTAAAAGTGTTTTGCTGACTGCGAAAAGTTGGTCCATTTATCAGTTAAAAAAATCAAAATCAAACTTTTTTTCTTCAGATGCTTTTTTTTTATCATGAAGTTTCAGAGATATAATCAAAATTGGAACATGTTAGTTTCCCTTGTCTTCTTTCTTGGGTAAAATCGACCATTTTTTTGGATTGATATCGGAACAACATAGACATGTCATATACCATTGCATTCCAATATCTCCAGCGGCATATATGTTACTAACATGTGAGATATCTTAAAGCGCACATGAAAATGATATAATTAAAAAAAAATTGAAGGGTCATGACTCCGCTTTCAAACAAAAGAAAATGATATGAAGAACAAAATAATATAGCATTTGACGGGCCAAAACGCCCTTAAATGTTTTATCGGCATCCAATTTCGAAGTCGACAGAGCAATCATTAAAAAAAATATATGTGTACGCGTGGGAGCTCTCAAAAGATGGACGCACAGACGAATGTCCGGAATCTCTTTGTCCCAACTCTATCGGTGAACAATACATAGTAGTAAAATGAATGGTTTCAAAAGATAAGTTGTTTCAGGGAGCTTATATCAACAAATGTAGGACGTAAAGTATATATTGTTCTACACTGACATCGGTCTAGGGCTTTCGTTGGTGTTATTGGTAACAATCTAAAAGGGACATAAAATTCCTTCAGACCATTTAAGCAATATTAGAATTTAAATATTTTTTGGGAATTTTTTTGATGGCAGTAGATATAATGGCAGAAATTTGATTTCAATTGGAAAAGTGACATTGCCTACAATGGCCAACAGCAGCGGTACCCCCGCCCAATGTTTTATATATCTTTAATAGTTTTATGAAGAATCCCCTGTCCCTCCTTTCCTGAACCACCCGGTATTTCCGTTACGATCTAAATTGTTGCTATAGTTTCAGAAATAAATGAATACAGATAAGCAAACACTACGACGTCGGGCGTAAATCAAAGCGTATCGATAAGTTACGATGCTCAGTGAAGCCGTTTGACCTTTTCATGTATTTAAAAGGGATCCATGTAAATACATGTACCAAACCACGTGACGAGAAAAACGACTGAACAAAAATAACAAAGCAAATTTTTAGATAATATATCATACACAAATTTTAACATGGCTAATATATATAAAACCTCTTAAACATTACAAAACACAAACATTTAATTAATATATTGATTTAAGTCATATTTATATATATAACTTATAAAACACTTTACGATAAAGTTGGCAATCGGAAATCAACTTCGTTTGTAATAGGTATGATACTTACTCTTTAAAATGACAAGGATGACGAAGGAAAGTAAAATTTAAATAAAAGGAAACTGCGATTTTTCTGGTTAAGTGAATTAATAGAAGTTACTTTTTGTAAAATAAAAAGTCAATTTTTTCGTTCTATTTCTATTCAAATCTAATATATATGCCATATAGGAGATTTGTATCCGTAGTGTAATAAAATTAGTTTTCATTAAAAGACATTTAGCAAAGATCATATTAAACATTAGTTTATCAATGGAATGATGATAAATTTCAGCCTGAGTACGGTGGTGGATCGGATGTCCTCTGGTGTCTTTCAATATTAGGCAAAGGTGTACAAGGCATTACAGGAGGAGGATGTCTTTCAAATCTAGAAGGCCTTGTTGTATGTGAAACCAACTGTCTGCTGAACAGATTTGATGACTGGTTCTGTTGGGTTTCATATGGGTCGTCATACGGTCTATATGGTGGAGGATCGACTGGACACATTCCCGATGAATGCATTGGTGGAGCTGCTACAATAAAGAAGATTTAAATAATGTGAAAAAACAAGATAAATCTGAATGTGAACTTACGATGCGAGGTTATTCACAATAATCATTTAAGAATTGAATGCTTCTATTTGTAAATTTATTGGGGTGTAAAAGCGTTGACCGAAGTACATTTTGTATGAAGCGCGGAAGTTATGTGCATATGATTTATTTAAAAATATTTATTGTAACGAGAATCCCGTTTCACGTGTTTGTGTAAAATCATTGTTATTAATGACCATGAATATTCAGAATAAAGATATGCCAATTGGTACAAACGTAAAATCAACATCTGGCTGTGAGTGAATAGCTTTTTTATGTTGTCCTGGCTGTTTTTGCAAGTGATCAATTAGTTTCTGCATGCTTAGAGTACATACAATTTAAGACTCTTTCATCTTGCATTTGTATTAAAACATTTGACTTTTCTACACTTTGCACAAGTATTCCCAATTCCAAAATAAAAGACAAATTGAAAGAGTTGGTCCTGCTTTGTTTCATAAAAAAGAATGGCCAGCGTAGCTTCAAGTATCTTGTCTTAGGGAGGGATAAATCGTTCTTGCTGACTTGTTTCCTTTATTCATACGAGGCTAACTTCATACAGGAACTTCTTAGGAAGAAGAAAAAAGAAGTCAGCAGTATCCTTTAACTTCACTTTCCACTATATAGATGATGTTCTCTCACTAAATAATTCAAAATTTGGTAACTATGTTGAACGCATCTACCCCATCGAATTTGAGATAAAGGATACAACAGATACAGTTAAGTTTGCCTCATATATTGACTTACATCTAGAAATTGACAATTAGGGTCGGTTAAAAACAAAGCATGCGGAGTATATATCTCCACGTTGATACGATATTCCAGGGCTTGTATTTCCTATCATGATTTCCATGATAGAGGGTTGCTGCTCACAGGGAAGCTTTTAAACCAAGAGTTCCAAGTGGTTAATTTGAAATCTTCCCTTCGTAAATTTTCGCACGCCATCAAGAGTTGGTTGACCGTTATGGAATATCTGTTTCACAGATGACGACGGATATGTTCCACTTGTCGTAAATTACAATCCCGTCCCCTTTTCCCCGAATGTGAGCTACCGAATAAGACTTATCATCTGGTCTGTACTTACATGAGCACACGACGGGTGCCACATGTGGAGCATGATCTGCTTTTTCTTCCGGAGCACCTGAGATCACCCTCAGTTTTTGTGGGGTTCTTGTTGCTCAGTCGTTAGTTCCTATGTTGTGTTTTGTTTACTGGTGTTTGTCAGCTTGTCTTTTTTCTTTTTTAGCCATGGTGTTGTCAGTTTATTTTCGAGTTATGAGTTTGAATGTCCCTTTGGTATCTTTCACACCTTTTTTTTTTATAGATATTGAGCATTTCAGAACAAAATATATCTTTCATTGTTATTCCAAAAAATTATTTGTATCATATGTAATTAAAAAATTTCACTCATTTCAAATCTTCAATTGTAAATTTTTGTATGCATGGTTCATGATGCATTAATATGATTATTATTCTTTTTATAGATTTTTGTTGAAAGAGCAGGATTTATTAAGTTCTCTTTAATCCTTTCGGGGTTTTCGGTTAATTATGCTCATGTATATACGTACACAATTTCGTAAAAATGAGTTTTGCATTTCTCTTACGTGTTTCTTTAAATTGATTTATTTGATATCATTCTTTTTAAACATACTTGGAATGACACGACTTGGAGGTCCTGTGTGACGACTTAAACCTACGACCGAAATTCTTTGTGGTTTTACAGTTCTCTTTGGCTTTGTACAACATTCATGGAAGCAAAGTAACACCACTACGAGAACGATGAAAACTCCAACCACACCGGCAGCAACAATGGCACCAACACTGACTCTGAAAAAGAAACGTTGCTACTCAGTATTTATTTCTTGTCATAATGCGGTTTTGTAAAAAAAAAAAAAAAAAAAAAAAACACACAAACAAACAAACAAAAGTACCTCTTTTCCCCAAATATAAGCCCTGAAAATTCGTTATTATTTAAACACAAACGAAAGTCATGAATAGATGTCACAGAAATTGTTGGAATATATGGGATACTCGCTTTTGAATTTAAAACACGTATTTATGATAAATTTAAACAGAAGCAGCAGCCTTATATAAAAAGATATTTTTGTGCCTGTCCTAAGCCAGGAACTTCTAGCCATAGTTATTCTTGTGTGTTTTTCTTAAATTTTGGTTCATTTGTATGTTTCGGAGTTGAGTGTGTCGTCCATTTTGCTGACCTAGTATATACATTATTGTTAAGGGGTGAGCTGAAGGCCGCCTCCGGGTGCGGGATTTTCTCGCTGCGTTGAAGACCCATTGGTAGCCTTGGCTGTTTTCTGTCCTTTGGTCGGGCTGATGACGCGTTCCCCGATTCCATTCTATTTTCTATTCAATCTTAAAAAAAAAAGTGTTTATTGAATATGTCATGGTCGTTGTAAGGAATAGTTTACTTGAACTATTAATTACAGATATATCTGAATGGGTAGTTTAATCCTTCTTACCTCCCATCACCATCATCCTCACTACTATCATCACCAAGAACTGTCTGTACAAATGCTGTAATAATAAGTGTGACAGATTTATTGACATAAAAATACTATGATACTACTGGTATTTACAGGGGTATCTGTTTTTGGGGAAACTTTTAGGTTTTGCAAAGTTCGTAGTACCACAACCGTGGACTATTAGTCCTGGAGATTTTTACCAGCTAGAACCATAGTATTTAGTGCTTGCATGAATATTCTGGTATTTAAAAAAAGCATATATAGCGTTTTCATCCCAGCAAGGTCACACCAGATCAAAGAAAAAAACAGTTGTTGGTCTGTATTACATTTGGAAGATTCATTTTGCTACTGCAGATTATCACTTTCATTTCAAATAATTATCCCAACATAAAACCCCCTTGCAGCAGATTTTTACATTTTGCTTTGCAATTTATGTTATTTTACTAAAACTAATCCATCAGTCCTGAGATTACTATAACACATGTTATAGTAATCTCAGATCAGTCACCGATATCCATACATTTTTTATACCCCCGCCACAGCGGAGGGGGCGTTAAGTGTTACCCTTGTCCGTCTTTATGTCCGTCCGTATGTACGAAACCGTCCATCCGTCCGTACGTACGAAATTGGTTTCCGTTCTCTAACTTCAGTTTGCCTCAACCAAAAGTTATGAAACTTATACACAATGCTTATTACCACAAAATTCAGACCAAGTTCGAATTTAGGTGGCGTCACTTTTACCGCTCTTGGGTAATGTCCTTTTATAACGTCATTTGCAAGCGGGGCATCATCTGTGTCCCATGACACATTCTGAATTTTTATTTTTTCGTTTTCTATTTATGGCTTTGTTCTCTCGAATATTTTATCATTTTTTTTATCGTTTTCCAAACCCTTGGTATAGAGCGTTCAAAACAAGCAAGGTTAAATTCAGAAACACGTTCCTTTTTGAACGTATTTCATTTTTTGGATGTAAGGCATATCTGAATAACTGTGATCTATATAGAATCATGTGCAAAACAGTGTAGCCGAGACCATTGATTGGCGCGCTAAAATATCCCATTGACTGGGTCAGATTAGGTGAACGTTCGTCTGTAACGCCCACAACTTTCGACGTATTTATTATAGACTTTTAAACTGTGGGGTCACCAAAGGGTCTCAACGCCTAAATAAAATAATTCGAAAAACTAATCAGGAATAACCTTTGTGTTTTGATTTATATTGAATACTTAAACGTTCTTTCCTTGTGTTTTCGTTATGTTTTGATAATTAATTTTTATGATATCGCACGTTCTTTCAGCAAAAAAAAAAGGATTTAACTGGCTTTAAAAGTTACAATGCATGTGTTGATTATTATCTTTTTTTTCGGACGTCAAAGCGATTTAACAATTGCGGTTGTCCAATTATGTCATCTTTTAACTTTTATCTGGTCAAAATTTTATTTTAGAACGAATGCATGATCAACTTTGAAAAGTGTGCGTACACAAAACATATAGACAAAATATACTTCTGTCCTGTCTTTTTCGTACTTGCAAGTTATTAGACAATAAAAAGGCTATTTGGATCAAGCCTTGTGGAATTTGCATTTACGTTTTTGAATAGGTAAAATGTATAGTTTGGTGAACTTTTCTGCTAACTACTATACTTGTGAAAAACCCTTGGCAACAGAAACATATTCAGCTTTTTTTTAATCGACCCAATTTACATAGTAATGGACGACTTCGTACTTTTATGATCACAAATAAAATATGTATATAATATACTGTGCACTGTAGTTCGTATATATACTGAGACCCTTTGGCAACCCCACAGTTTAAATGTTTATAATAAATACGTCGTGAGTTGTGGGCGCTACAGACGAACGTTCACCTAATCTGACCCAGTCAATGGGATATTTTAGCGCGCCAATCAATGGTCTCGGCTACACTGTTTTGCACAAGATTCTATTTGCATGAACGTAAATAAAGAAAAACAATTTACAGATCGCATGATATAATCTAAATCATCGTAATTGGATCCAATCTTAGTTAATGCTTAGCTAATAGGTATGTGTTAAGCTAGCTTTAAACGTCAAAGAGATCTGGAGTCTTCTGATTTAGAATCTTTGGTCTGTGAGCAGGAAATTGAAGTTTATGTTTAAGGTCAAGTTCATATGACCTCTCATATTCTAAATTTTGGCCTTTGCTTGGTATCGCTTTTCCTCAAATTTAATAAATTGTTGTATCGAGGTGGTTCATGGCTTTTAGTATGAGTTTTCACTCCTCAAAGATTTGAAATAAGTTGTCTGGTTGTATAACTCATTTGATGACAGGTATTGTGTAGTCTTTGCTGAAGTAATTCCACAGTTTTCTCGACTCGGGTTTAGAGCTTGACTCCTGTCTATTTTTGAAAACTGAGTGTTAACCTTAAGATGTCTTTTGTTTTTTTTCTCATTGATGTATATCCAAAGCTCCTTTTAATTTTATAAGAACATTAAAAAAATAAAGTATGAACTTAGGTCAGGGTTTTGAGGTGAGATTCACGGCCTATGACCTATGACTAAGAAATTGGGATTCAAACATCAACTAGTTTCAATGTTCCAATTATCTCTATAAACATATCCGTCAACTTTAAGCTTACAAAACATCTCCAAGGAACAAATCTAAACATCTGCAGATTCTAATTATCAAAGATAAATAGTAATAATCAGATGTTATATGTTTGACCAGTGGAAGAAGAACACTTAAGTTTAACAAGCTTATTTATAAAAGATGAGGTAAAACGATTAAGATCTGCGAAAAATATTTCAGATGTCGGAAATATTTCTTTTTTACACATTAGCGTTTAGACTAATTAACCTTGGCTATTGATTCAAGAATCCGTTTATGGGCACCTTTATTATAGTGTTTACTTCCGTAATCATAATATACTCACAGACACCCAATAATTTAATTTCTAATTAAAAATGCAAATAGCACGTAAATAATGAAAATTGTTTTACCTTTAGAATCATTTAATATTAAAATTTAACAAATAATAAATATAATTATCTTACTCGTAATAAGAAAAAATAGCATTCGAACAAAATATAAATTGCATTCACTAGCCATTTTATATGCACAAATGAAAAGTAAATATACTATAATGTTTTCATTTAAAACTAATGAAGCGTTTGGTAGTATTGTTCAAAATTCATTGTTTTATATTAACGCAAACAGTATATAATACAATTTATGGACAATTGTACTGGTTCACTCCCTAAAAAAGTAATTAATATTTTGTTTGTCGAGACTCCGGTTCGTTGTCATTATTTAGCAAGATAAGTTCGTTCTCAGACAGGAAAAAATGAATGGTCCCTTCCCGGATATGTTTTTTTCTGTTTTACTATACACTGACGCTGCAGAAAAGATTAATATAATCCAGTTATAAAGAGTTAATTGCATCTCTTAGTAATTCTAAAGAAAAATGTGATAATACCTTTGCCATTTAATTGTTTTCCATCCTTTAAGTTGTTAATTATGCCTGATGCACTTGTGATTCCAAAATTTGATACCTGTGTTCTCTTTTTTCCTTTTTCTCGGTCAAAAATTTATTAATCTTCTTTCTTCTGTAGCCGTTTTGAGAAAAGGAAATTCTTCTTGGTCTGAGTCTTATAACTATTGAACCTATTACCACCTCTGCTACTCCTTGTTGTTGAATTTCAGCAAGTTGTCTGCTATGTCTCTTGCACTAGAATTATGAGTTGTTAGTTAAATTGTAGTTTCTTACTGGCATGAAACTGTTACGGAGACAGGTTTCAGATCTGTACTTTGTGTCTTTTTTTGTTGTGAGGGATGTATAAATACCCTGCCACGTCCGGTCTGTATTTTTGTTAGATGATTTTCTGCCGCAAGTTTGTATCGGTTTGATGAATTAAGCCCTTTCCAACATTTTTTTTATAATTTGCTCTTATATTGTACTGTTACACCGCATGCAGTCTCAGGTTATGGGAGGATATGCGCTTTCAAACATATTTAACCCGGCCACATTCTTTATGCGCCTGTCCCAAGTCAGTAGCCTGTAATTCAGTGGTTGTCGTTGAATCATGTCTGTCATATTTGTTTTTCGTAAATTGTTTTGTTATAAATAAGGCTGTTAGTTTTCTCAATTGAATTGTTTCATATTTTTCATGTCGGGGCCTTTTTTTTTGCCGACTATAAGGTATGGGTTTTTCTCATTATTGGAGGCCGTCCAGTTGATCATAATTGCTACCATCCACTTCATTTGAATTTTGGTGGAAAGTTGTCTCATTGGCAATCATACCACATCTCCTTATTATTTTTATTATTAAATGAGTAGACTATTTTTGTCATGTCATGCACACTGTTGAATCTGTTTGGAAGAGGCAATTTTTAGATAAGCTCTCTATTTATTTTTTTTTAAACCAAGACAGAAACACTTTGTGTTCATATATAATTATTACTTCGACATTCAATAAATTGTCAGACTAATAAATATTAATTTTCTCAGTATCTAAGTTCTTTCACTGCCAATGACAGTTTATAAAGTATTTGATCTGGACTATAGTATTTTTTCTGCAGAATGCTGTTATTTTGATATAAACACACTTTCGGACTTTTTTTAAAAAAAAACAATATGATGAGATCTTTCAAATACTGCTGTAGATGGATGTCAGAGACTTAAACACACAGTAGAAATCAAGTAACTGGATAAATTCTGTGACAACATTTCCAGAAATAATAATGAATTAAAATCAATTGATTCATTTTTTTATTTTTTTATTTTCCTTTGAAATAAAGTTCCATTTCCTCAGTGAAATTATCCATTTATTGAGAGACATGTACAAGTGTTACATATAAAGAGAAAGAATGTGGTGTTGGTGTGAATGTACATGAGAAAAAATGGACTGATTGTTTGCTTAATGTTCATTGGCAAATATTTCATGCATATTCCACACATGCGACATATAAACAACCGAACGAAAATGAAAAGCAAGTGCGGAGAACTATTTGTAATTAGATTATGCATATTCGACACAATATATGAAAAAAATATTATTTATTTCTTTAAAAGTAAACATTTCAATGGATCTCTAAACTAATTACACTTCCCTAACGTTAAATAATTGTGTTTTCTTCAGATTAGACACATACGCATCCATCAGAAGAAGCATTATACATGAGTACTCTAAGATCCAAACTTTGTGTTTTTTAAAGTCTATTTGTTAGTTGGTTTTGCTTTGTGTTCATCCTCTCTCTCTCTCTCTCTCTTTCTCTCTCTCTCTCTCTCTCTCTCTCTCTCTCTCTAGACTTAGACGAAATTTTGTCTCTAAAAAAGGAATTTTGTCTCTAAAAAATAATGTCTGACTAGCTCACTAATTGGCTGGCTCACAGCATTGACAATTGCTTTGACTATAGCTTGTTCTTATGTTGTCTTGTTACACTGTTGTCTCAGGTTAGGGGGGAGTTTAGTGCCCGCAAACATGTTTAGCCCCGCAACATTCTGTATGTGCCTGTCCAGAGACATATAATACATTAAATTATATGACTCTGGTCTGTCCAAATTTAATTTGATAAAATTCCATAAAGGTTTGACAAAGTTATTGGTGCGTTTTAGTAATCCCAGTTTGATGTTAGATTGAACTAATAAAAGTTGATCAATCTACACGCAGAAAAAGTTTACATACTATATGGCACCTACATGTGGATTAAACTGGTTTTATAAATTGAATCAAAGTCAGTTAAGCATGAAAAGTAAGTCTCATAATATTAACTTTGCTAATTTTACAGCAGCAGATGCGCATTTCGACAATTAATGTCTCTTTAGTGATGCTCGCGTCTAAATTCTTTGAAAGTCCAATACGTATTGAAAAAGTTGAATAGCTGATATAACCAAAAGTGAAGCCAAACCCGAACAAGGAATCAGAGCTATCCTTATATGAAATTTATTATGTTTATAGTGAGGAGAGCATAACATTTACAGAGCTTAATGTTATTGCCAACTGAACAAACTGTGAACTCTAAACAGTACGAGTAATCATTCTTTAAATCTTTTATATTTTAAAGTTGCTGTAATTTTTGTAATGCTAATTTTGTTTCAGTCAATTTCGTTTCGTTTCGGCTAATTTTGTTTCATTTCGTTCCGTTTTTATTTAGTTTCGCACTTTACAGGTACCAACAAAAAAAATGTTCTTCCCGGTGGTCATCACATGCTTAACCCCCGTTTTTTTCCCTCACCATTTCGGCAAGTAAAATATTTGTTTGATATGTTTATTCATCTAATTTGAAAATGTAATTTTAATATAGTTGAACACTTTTCTCATGTAATTTAAATGTAATTAATTACAATAATTCATTAAGAAGGGTAAATGTAATTGTAATTTAATTGAAGCATTTCGCCATGTAATTAATTGATAAATGATACCTTCAAATTCTGAAAATCTGTCAGGGAATTTTTACATTATAACTAGAGTATTTCTTCGAAATAGAAAGGGTTCACTATCGTAAAGAATCACTGTCACACATACAGAAGAGACATGTCCAAATGTGGATCCAGGGTTTAGAAAGGGGGACTAGGCAACGTTTAGAGTAGGACATGTAAAATGTCTATGCATTAACCATAATATGTAGATCCATAAGAGGGCGCCCCCTCCCCCATAAATCCGCCTCTGATGTCTCTTTGCATAGCTTACAGGCTAAAAATCGTGACTAGGTCTGTTGAGAGTTGGCAACTCCCATTTCCTCGAATATTACTTGGCCCCAATCTTCAATTCACTCATACCGTCTCGTAGTAGCGTGCTCGCCTGGAGTGCAGGAGGTCATGGGTTCGATCACCGGCCGGGTCAAACCAAATACTTGAAAATTGGTATATGCTGCTTCTCCGCTAAGTACGCGGCATTTAGAAGTAAGAGTAAAGAATGGTCGACTCGGAGTCATCATAACGTAATGAGCAGGGTATGTATTAACATCACATTATCATATTGTCGTCCTGAATTACACTCATAGTTCATTGACTTTCAATTTTTTCATACTATACAATTTAAGGTGTTTCAATGTAAATTTATTATTCATTGATCGTTATGGTTACAAATAAGAAGAATCTTACTAGCTATACATGTTTCAGTAATAGTTATACACCGAGGGATAGGTGTGTCTGGATAAGAAACCCCGTCGGCCGGAGGCCGGAGGGGTTTCTTATCCAGACACGCCGTATCCCGAGGTGTATAACTAACTTACACCCCATTCTAAACCCTATAGTTGTTAACATTGATTATTAAATGAAAAACAAAACACGATAGCATATTTATTGACAATATCAAACCATGATTTATAAGAATATTTTTTTATTACATGAAACCCCACTAGTAACCTTTCTTTGGTTATCTTCGTTCAAACTTTGACAAGTGAGTATATTTTACAAATGCCAAGTTGTTTTACATATTCCCGTTAAATCCATGTGCTAAAATGGATCAGCAGGTCAAGGTTGACTGTTTCGTGTATTCTTATTACAAACAAAAAATACATCATGCTCCTGGTATACAGTTGTCAATATGGACGGGTATAAGACGGACGACATTTTGTGGCAAGCGTTGGATTTGGTAGAAGAAACTAAAGATAAAGGCAATATTACAACCCAAAGTACTTACCTATATCAGTTTAATAAAGGTAATCATAACTGTATTTTATATTTTACGATTTTATCAAAAACAAAAGCCCCCCCCCCCCCCCCCCCCCCCCCCCAATTCTTCTCGAGAATAAACAAACATTCATATTCGAACATACTAAGGGATAGGTGTGTCTGCATTAGAAACCCGACTACTAGACATGCTCAACATACAATATTTAATATTGAGGAACTCCCTTTTTTGGGGCAATCAGGGGCTGATCCAGCCGGGGGTTCCCAACTCAAGAGAAAAAAAAGGGGGGGGGGGGGGGGGGGTCCAACCATTTAAATGCATTGATCTTTTAAATAAAAGCAGGGTCCAATCCGCAGAACCCCCAACCCCGGATCGGCCACTGGGTAACCGGGTGGGGGGTCCGGGAGTTAGAATCCCCATTTTTTTAAAAGATCAATGCTTTAGAATAGATCCATATGACTGGGATAAAAAAA